TTTGGACGACTCAAAAATTATTGTTGGAAAGCTAGTAAGGTTCTTTTATACGGAAAACTATAGCGACAGAATATAGGCCTCTGAGACGGAGTAGCTATCGTGCTCTGCTCTCTAACTCTATGCCCGAGTCTTTGTCTTAGCTGACAAATATGTCGCTAAGAACTTACCTGCGTTATATGTTGAGAAGTACTAGAGACTTCTTGAGCTCCTATGCGATCCGATCGAATTCATTGAATCTATCTCGGAAGTATATGCTTTACCTCCTATATCAACTAGAATTTTGAAGGAGGTTGTAACACGCTTTGTACGGATCAATATTTCGAATTATCTATAGGAGGAACTGTTTAGATGGCCTATAACAGTGTTGCCTAGAGCGTGCCCGAATTTGTCAAAGATCTTCTCGACTTATATATCGAAGTCCTATTGCTTAGAAACTATGCGAATTGCGGATAGTACGTACCGATGGTAGCTTTGTAGGGAGATGTCGACGATGTCGACGTGGTACGGCAGCGATTGCTGGGTGTGTTTAGTAGCTGTATGGAAAATTCTAGCTGCTCGTTTTAACGGAGATAAGACGAGTGAGAAAATGATAAGTAGTTCAAAATTGCTAAGACGTCCTTAGCGATATGACAGCGTTCTACATAAAGTTGGTAGACTGTGATTTTGATCTCGACCTTCACGCCATCTGGCAAGAGCCCTCCGGCATACCGACACTACCTCCCTATCTCGCCGTCGATTTCGATCCGCGACATATTCTCTTTGATGAAAGCGGGCATCCCGAATATGAGACTCAGGGGTCTTCCTTGATCGAATGCTTTCCCTACCGCGGTTACGACAATCTGCCCGGTTTCAAGTGGATAGGTCTAGATCCTCTGTCTATGCCTACTTAGGCTAGCGATAATTTTCTCTATATGTCAGCGTTTATTTTTCCCGAGGTGTAATAGACAGTGTTTCGACTTGCGCGGTTTGATCAGACATCTGGTAAGACTATAGAAGAGCATATGTTTTTCCTTCCCCGGATTAAAAGGGAATATCTGTCGGGGAAGCAGAAAGTTGCTGGATATAATCACCCGACGTACGATTGGTGTAATAGTCGTTAGCTTTAGCTTGTCCCTATGGCCTCGTATGGAACCTCTACCACATTCCAAACAATCGACACTTTCACCGCTAGCTACACTACCTACGATATTGTCGCTGAATCCGTACTTCTTTATTTATAATATAATGGGTTACAGTATTAAAAGTGAGATTATCCTAGAATATGCGGGGTTATTCACAGACATATACTAAGAAGGCTATTGTATACCCTTCTTACTATAACGGTAAGATATAAGCTGCTTTCTATGAGGTAATTATCTTCCAATTGGAACGTCGTCGTATTATTTCCAATTTGGAAAAGTAGGGCATAGGACAATCATAAGTATGCAGTCCTTTACTCTTGTCTTGGATTTTCTAAGAACCCTGGTAGATTGAGTCTCGAAGGGTAGTTCTAGTTATCGAGTACGCGAATCATTCGTTCTCGAGATAATTCCAGTGCCTGCTCAAAAAAACGTAGTTGAGCTAGCTGCTTCTCGAGGCGAAGCTGAAGTCCGTCCCTCTCTTTTCTTAGGTGCGTACCAGCCTCCTTCAAGTTATGATTGCCCTGCTCTAGCTTTTGGCTATCGATATGCTTAGACACGCACGACTCCTATATGCATCGATAGAATCCAACAAGTCGAGCTGCTGGAAAGGTGAACTTGGAATCGTCGCGTTCGAGGTCTGCTAGCACTTCTAAAATAGGTTGAAAGGGCTCGATTGCCAAGGTATGTCTTGTTTCTGCTTCCTGTTGTAAGTGCGAGAACTGCGATAGTCAGCAAAAATATGTGAAGCTGAATCGTTTCTTTTACTAATGGAGGGATAGGATTAGAAGTTTCCTGTGATATGTCTTTCTCGCTAAGGATTGGCAATTCACTGGGCTGCTTTTCTCCTTCCCTTTCCTGGTCTGGCGAGTTGTTCGGGATATCCATTTTGTCCATAGGTGAAAGTCAAGATCTGGGTAGTACCGTTTCCGTTAGGCTCTTGTGTCTCTTATAGACTATGCAGACGTAGGTGGCTATGGACTAGGTTTTACGATCACTACAACGGTTAATTGAAGCAGTCAAGTTCTGCTAGGGTTGTTTTACTTTTCAGCGGGCTGCTGATAGTGTATTTAACAATAGGGGTAGTGGACAACATTCGGTCGGGGAAACTGATGAAGCCTCACGATGTTGAGGGCCAGATATGAACGCTCGTTGAGGAAACATATATTTCAATGAGACACGTCTTCGACTTTCATTGAATGTCTCAGAAACTCGACAAATAGGACATTGCGGATTTAATATCTCCTATAAAGCCTCAATTTAAGAGGGCTGTGAAGGACTCAACAGTCAGCCAACTTTTCTTGACCGACTTAGTATCTCTTTTCCGCAATACTACTCTTACTCGTCTCTCTAGCTGGGCACGTAAAGGCATCAAGGATGTCGCTGCAAATAGTTGCGGTAAAAAGAAGACGTGGGTTTTAACAGACCCTAATCAAGAGATGTGTCTTTTAACGCTCCCTACTAAGTTGGTAAGTGATAGAAGCAGAGAAGTTAATAGATGCGTCCTCTACCTCCGGCAGCTCGCTCTATAGTTCAATCATTTGACTACGTAAAGTCAAATAGGCATTGTATCCGAGATGCTGAAGGGCGACTCTCTATATATGTACAGGTATGTGAATCTCAGCGCGACCCTGTCCGAAACTGGGCTGACCTCAAAGACGATGCGAAACAATTAGATCTGTGTATTCCGTCCAATATACGTATTTATCCTTTGAAGTAGCAATTCTCGTTCGTTAAGCCATTTCTGGAAACAATCAGCAAACATCACACCCTAGCTTTCTAGGTCTGGTGGGGTGTTATTGTTGGGAGGGGTATGTATTTCTGGTCCGGGAGCTAGTAGAGCTCTCGGTAAGTCACATCCTCGTATTAAGATGCACTATCACTGAGGATGAAATTGCTGTAATTGTTCGGCCGGTACGTACTACTTTTAATGGTTGACGCGAGAAAACAAACGGTGCTTATGCCCGATACACTCGTGGTCACTGGCGAAGCATCACTTTGCTCCTACCTACTAGTAACCGACTAGTGGTCCTGGGAGCATCTGCTTGGCTTCCGGGATTGCTGCTCGGTTCTATAGGGACCAAATCTATAGCAGAAATGGACTTTATGAGGTTGCTAGGATTGAGATTCTACGGCATTTGTGCATTATACCAAGGTCCAGACTTGGTCTAGCTAAACTGAAACAACAGCCCCAAATGACATACTCTAGGTACTAGGTAATGAGTTACAGACTTAATTGAAAGCTAATAATATCTCAATATGGGCTGAATCGTCTGTAGCTTGGTAAATCTTACTGGTTTGTCTGATTCGAGCCTGGAACGCTGCTTGTAAATAAGCCATTGGATATACGAGATTATTTGTCTGTATTAGATACGGTCCCCGCTTCGCTGACAGCCTGTGTTAATGGAGCGGACTTGTCGTCTGAGTTGTAGCTCAGAGCTATGAATTGTGTTTTATTCTAGAGGGAAAGATGAGGTTATATATATAACACGGAGCCAAGTTGATTTACAATCAACTTGGTTGTCTGTATAGACTTTTCGGAGCTAATTCCGATGGTGCGGCTTGCTTCCTGATCTGCACCAACCTCATATCACAACAGTTTTAGTTTTCTTTCGAAGCATGTACGATTCCATTGCTATTTTCTCGTTATAACTCGGTTACGGTGGCGAAGAGCGCAGCAAAAACGTTCACGACCGTTAACGCTTGTCTAATAAGACCCTAGTCAATGGGTCTCTGTTAGATGCATATTGACTCGGGTCGGTCTTTGGCTTCTGTATAGATTCCGAGGGCAAACAGCGATAGCGAATGCGAAAAGAGCTGTATAATGTTGCTACCCGGCAATTCTGTAGGCTGTTTAAGTTGGTGGAGGAGGCCTGCAGTTTTGTGAGGACAATGTGATGGTCTTTATTATACTTTACCGGTTGAGAAAGCGGTCGATGTACGTGGTCAATTGTCACTTTTGGGATCATTATAAGGCGCTTTCATATTTTGGTTGCAATTCGTTATTGGTATAAACCTCTTCTGGTCAGGCTACGGCCTCGCGCAATGATTAGCAAGTGAAGTTGTCCGGAATAAAAAAACAAATATATAAAACTTAATTTTAGTATTATTATAATCGAAAATTTAAATGGTAAATTATTAATAATCGCAATAAAAAAGGTGTATCTTGAATCAGTTATAGTCAAACAACGTAAAACAAAAGAGAGTGTGAATAATAAACAATAAAATAAAATGGTAAAGTTTGCTTTTAGTAGGGCGTGACACTTGGGGAAAGCATAGGCTATATTCAACGGCCATGTCACCGGAGAATACCGTTTTTATATTTTATTTTATTTTTAGTTTATTCTATTCTATTCTATTTTACTTTATTTTACTTTATTTTATTTTATTTTATCTTATTTTATTTCCCCTTTCTATTGAGGTACACTTGGAGATTTGAAAAAGAGGGCCCCTCGTTGTGGAAATGGATTAAATTATTATTCTGATAATATTGGGAGGTACTGGGCTTAGTATTTATTGCTAGACTGGTTCGGGTACTGGTCACTTGGGAGCTTTAAAGGACATTTACCCCTGGTCGCGGGTAGGACTAGGGCCCCGCTTCAACATACCATTTCCACGCCCTCTTCTCTCCAACTGTCTAGTCTTGTCGGCTGCCGCTTTCGCGCTCGTTTGGATTAAGGGAGTACAGTGGACCTGGCACTGCACTCCTAATGGGCGCCATCCTTCTTCTTCCGTCACACTGTCTAAGGGATCATTGTCTCCGTTCTTTTGTTATTTTTGTCATCCCCTAAAATAGTCTCTAAGATCGTCGAGGGTCTTGCGGATTATGTGGAAGCTGGCTTGACGCGTGCTGTTGGAGTCGCTAGTTACAGTACCTAGGAAATGATCAAAATAGCCGACGAGCTCGCTATATACGGTGTCCCGCTTTCTGTCTGTTATTGCGAGTCCTCGGTCATTCGTTATCTGCTTGAAGTGAGAAATATGATTCGCGAATGTAAGAAGAGGAGTATCTGGTTCTAGAGCTTTGCTTCGCTGGCTGAGGGTCGTCTCTCTGGTAGGTATCCGCGTTTCAATGAGATTCGTAGAGACGGCGTTTTAGCAGCTATCCAACGTATATGCTTGAGCCTACTATCAATGTGCTCAAGCGTATAGCGAAGGAGAGACGTGTCCCTGTTCCGGCTGTTTCTTTGAATTACTCTATTAACAAGGGTGTTGTTCCTTTGGTTGGTATTCGTAATGCCGAGTAGGTAGAGTAGGATATGCAATCGCTTGGCGGGCGACTGACGGAAGAGGAGATAAAGGTCATTGAGGCTGTTAGTATGGAGAGGCAGATTTCTTCCTCGTTGCAGTATGGCTAGATAGTTCTTGTGTAGATTTGACTAAAGCTGTATTGTGTAAACCATCTTCTCTATAACTGAGCCTCTACGTTATCTACCCTTGATTCTGTTCTGTGCGAAGATACTGCTATATCTTGGTGTTAAGGCTAAATTGCACTCATTGCTTCTGTCGCGCACGAGGCGGGAGGTGCGCAAATGAAGATTTAGAAAGAAGGCTTATATCTATTGGGCTAAAGAAGTGGCTGCAATTAGTGTTCAAAATGTTCTGCCCTCCGTGTTAACCGATTGTGACCGCTATTTGCAAACATAGGTGTCATGGAGTAACTATCAATTAGTATGTCACTAGGGAACTATCGGTGAAACGCTAGCATCCCTGTATCAACACGTCAGCGCTAGTTCACCGCTACTTTATCCCTTATGTTGTACAGCCTGATATAGGAGAAACTCAGAGTTCCCTCAGAATCACTCTCTATATCCTCTACGATATGATTGTTCCTAGGATACTTATTATTCTACTAAGATACTGCCGAAGGTGTGGATAAGGAGTAATCTAGCCGAAAAGGCACAGCGTTATGCAAAATAAATTCAGCAAAGATTCAATGAGACTTTGGAGATGAAAGTGATTTCGAGCGTATGTGTAGGGCTTACTGCCGGCCAAGCGTACCAATAATTCGAGTCCACGAAGCAAAATCAAAAGCAGCGAAATGCAAGCGCCTTTGCCAAAAACATAGAACCCTGAGGGGACAAATTGATTCTGATAACCGCGGATCAAAATGCTTTGCTACAGCAATATACCCCATAGCCAGAGAGGCAATTTGCTCAACGCAGTAGTTGCCCCTTCTCTTCCAGCTCTGCCCATGGGTAATCAAGGGATGAGTGGTAGTAAATGCTAAGATACACGCCGGTCTTCTCAGTATAGGCAAAAGATATCCAAGAAGTCAAGCGGCTTGTCTTGCTGAGGTCGCGATTGGGGCTGAATCATTGTGTTAAATTTCTGGTCGGTCCAACTCCTCAATCGATTTATGGGTACGGGGTAATCTTACAAGTAGCGTTGCACAGTTTCCTCATAGCCACGGCCTTGCTCGACCTGGCCAATCTCCTCAAAAAATTGAGCAAGTGCCCGAATGATGACGAGATCGTTGTCGCCGTGAATGGGGAAATAAAACTTGGTCTGGGGTACGGGACTTCCGGGCCTCATCTCATAGTTCCAGATAATAGGGGTCGGCGTTACATCGGTGCCGTCATCAAATCCCCCTGTGAATTTTCTGTTACCCTCGTTGATGTTCAAAAGTGTCCACATCCGCTTCAAATACTCAAGGCCCTTTGAGACATGAGTTCCACCGACACGTCCTCCAAGTGTCCAAATGCTCTCAACTTTAGACCAGACAACTTCGTCAGTGGAACTGTAAATCTTTATTCGAGATTTAGGTGCAACCATGCAGTCCCAAGAAAAAAAGGCCCACTGGCTGTAGCCATTGGTCTCCTTTAGATAAGAGTTTACGGTTTCAAAAGCGGGCAGACTGCCTGTCAATTTGGATAGAGACAAGACAGTCTCCTCAAACAATTCATGGAATGCTTTACCAGTAGCCTTGCATTTGAGTGCTGGGAATGAGTACCCCTTGACGACAATGGTGCCGCCCTTGAGGTCGAAACCAAACGCAGTCTGAGATAAACTCAAGTCGCTGCCGTCAACTTTCTTGCCATCAAGTCGAACACGCTCGGACTCGCTGACTGTATGCGCGTTGACGACGTAATTGGACAAAGTCTCGTCGTATCCATTGAGGCCTAGATTTGCGACATGCTTCAGTAGATCATAAAGAGCTACCTGGTTGTAAGGGTCCTCAGGGGTGCCAGACATGTCCCCGATGGGCTCAAAACCAATTCTCACAGTGGGAGGAACGCCACCATGCTGCTGATAGTTGACGCTGAATTCAAGAGGCAGTCCGCTGCGAGTCACAGCGCTGCGGAATTTCTGAGGGAGAGGGCCCATGCGTGGAATCAGACTCAAAGCATGGAAGCGAAGATATTTTTCCTGGAGCTCCAGACTGTACTCTGCCGAGTCAAGCACAGTGGCGAGGAGAGGAGCAGTCTTCTGCCACCAGGACTCATTACGAGAATTTTCGAACGTAGAAGATATTTCGGCTATCATGTCCTCCCTAGGAATAGGACCAGAGGAGGAAACTCCTGTCGTATCAACCGACATTTTGGGTAAAATCTCCCAGCTTTTTTGGGACGGTGACTGTAAGTGATGTGCGAAGCTGGCCTTAAATTATATATCATGATATAGTGGCCCGAGGGCGGCACCCTTTTCAACTAGCTTCATTCTGCATATTTTCTACGTATCAAACGCTTTCCCCTCACCGTGTGCATCTAGGTGATAGGAATGTTAAGCTGCCGCTATCTGAAAATGCACTTCTATCGTGATAACTGAAATATATTGCATCATAAGCAAGGGAGTCGTTCACACAGGGTGCAGATTACTATAATAGGATATCCCGCTTGGATATCATCGGAGAAGCTATGTTAGCGGTGAGGATCCTTGCTAGGTCTAGATGCGCGTACTGTATGTAACGCCGTTGATTGGTAGACTGTGATCAAGTCGCGTAATTCGGTGAACGGTTTCCTGTAGCACGGAAATAGTAGGTGGTGGTATGCTGCAGGCTAACATTGCATAATGCATACTTAGTGAGTAGACGCCAGGTATGCTATCGGGTCAGGAATTAGCAGGTCACACTTCCATTTTCCCGAGAATTCTTTCTTGGCTTATCCTACGATCCATGCTACTTATGCATAGGTTTCACAGAGCCGGACGGCCGGGTGAGAAGTCGTGCTTTTGGCATGGCACCTAACTGGAGATTCAATGAAGGGTTATATCGGAATCCTTAGACAGGGGTCCTTGCTTCATGTACCTAGTGATGTGATTGAGAGCAATCCAGAGCTCTATTCATGTACTGAGACAAGTCTTACGTTTCAGCAAGATGCAAAGCAATGTCCGTTCAAAGTAGCCCACTCGTACTTTGAAATGTTATCTCCGCTTGGAACCCGTAATAGAGGGTGGAATAAAGCAGGCTAATCGGGAATGATACCAAGTTACAACGTAATAATTTGCCCCAATAGATGCACCAAGCACAAGTTGTTACATAGTGAAACCGGTGCAACAGTCGAACTTACTACATAAAGGGAAATGCAGAGACCTGAAATAGACAACAACCCATCCGAGTCCAATTTGTCCCGTAACTGGGAGTAACAACCTTGAACTCTGCCCAGCTGGCTTCACATATCAGGCAGCCTCATCTTTATTCATTATCCTGTTTGAACTGGTATTTCATCCTGAATTCAATATGCTCCTTTACGAATCTGGCCTTAAACTGACCCTGCGGAAGAGTGCCAGGTTTACCAGTAGACTGTGGCACGAGAAATGCATCATGCCGAGGGTTCACGAAATGCGGGATTGAGTATCTCGAGAGTGTCATCTCGGACCAATCAAATGGTGGCGGAATAATCACTCGGTGCTTCGAGGCCGGCAGATACCCGTTTGTCCACAACTCTCCAAAATCTCCCATGGTAAACCAGATGCGATCTTCGATCTCCGTACTGGCCTGAAGGAAAGTGCCTGGATAAGTTCGGTCTTCAATTTCGAGGCCTTGATTTTCATCTTGAATCAGGAAGGTAAAGGTCGTGAAGTCCGTGTGCACGGGACACCAAGTGAGGGCGATACGGTCAATGGTCGACTTGAGAACAGGCGGATAATGAAGAAGGCGGAATCCACTATCATGTCCTGTATGAAGGCCTCTGAAGTAGTCGGCCGCGACAGGCTCAACCTCGAGACCTAGAAGAAGAGCATTCAGTACTTCCATCTTGAGCTTTTCAAGACGCGAAAGCAGCTCATTCATCGAGGCCTTAAACCCTGGGAGAATCTCGTCGGAAATCCAGCGATTGCCGTGGACAGTATTCAAATCACTGCCAATATCATAATGCTCCTAGATATTGGACAAAGTTCCAATACATCAGCGTCTGATGAAGACTAGTGTTGAGTTTGGAGCTTGGGGGCTTACCTTCCAGTCCAGCGGCCTCTCGGAATCCGCGTCCAGCTCACCTGAGAATTTTTTCAATTCTTCATCGGTATATGTCAAGGTGCTCTCTCGTCCCATGTTAGAGTACCCACGATGTGGTACAATGCCATTTGGATGGTCAACCTTTTTCTTCTCCCCGAGAGGAAGATCAAAAAAGCTTTTCGACAAAGCAAGACTCTTCCTCAGGGTGGCTACATCGATTCCATGACCGATTAAGCCGCATGTTCCTTGTTTATGAACGGCGCTCACGAGCTGCTCGGCTAGTGCTTTTCGCTCCAGAGGATCATTGCTCTCAAGATATGAACAGAGGTTGATGGTTTCAATGTTCGTGGGACCCATGTTGTCAGGTTACGTTGACGGCGGTTCTTGATGACAAAGAACGGGTTGGCAAAGCCTGAAAAAAGGTTCTTCGTAGATGTTAAAGGAAATCTATTTTTTTTGTGGGTTGAAATTTATATATAAAAAATAATGCTAACCTTCTTTTCCGTGCCAGATCATTGCCAAGAAAGCTAACCCACGCTTTACACCTGATACAGGCATTTGTATAACAGATTCGCGAGACTGCCCATACTAGCGCAGTTAACATACTGGAATGCCCAACAATGTTGCCTTAGCTGCAACCCTGACTAACTGCACCTGCACTGCGTACACATGAAGTATATGTTCTGAAGATCAATGATGATCGTTGGGTTGGGCCTATTCAAAAATGAACACGGGTACATGTTTGCACTAGGAACTTAGGGTTTTATAATTTAGTACCGCAGGTTGCGGATTTATATGATAATAAATCATAACCCTTGCATCAGGTTACGACACTCCAGCCAGCCACGAGGAGAATCAGGAGGCGGTAAGCACGATCCCGCCACAGTGGAAATGGAAATTACAAGTTTGGCACGTGAAAACCTAGAATAATTGCCCGAGTAACAGAGCAGTGATGCCTAGAGTGCATATGTGAACATAGAAAATATAGCTTCAGAATAAGACATCAGAATCATTAAAATCAAGCCTGTATATTACTCTGAGTAAATGATAAAGAATATTCAAATGGATGAACATACAAATACCATATCTCATTTGATAACTTATACGGAGTAGAATGTACCTAGGTATCTGCGTACCCTTCCAGCCCGAGCATCCAAGAGGCTTTTCCGTACTTCCGTCGGTACCTGCACGGGACTAGCCGCCGATCCACTCGAAGTAAAGAACTGCGGTGAAACACAATTCAATGCAAAGCCGAATTGGTTCAGAAAAGTTAAAAAAAAAGAAAAACAGAGGAGAAACCCTCGTGCTGTCCCGGGCGCTTGCGCATACTGCATTGACCCCTTACTGCGCATTTCATCATTCATGCTTGCTTCATGCTGATCCATTACTTACATCTTGCTAAGGTCAGCTTCATACTGAATTGCGAAACTCTTAGAGCTCACACTCAAAGTTGGGTAAGTTGAACGTATTGACATTTTTTTTCGCATTTTTTTTTTTTGCGACCATTTTCAAGTCTCAACGGTCTCAGTACTGCGCTATCTCTTCTTGCTGTATCCAAACAATGGAGTCTCTGCTGTCTTCTGCCCTAACTGTGCCATCGATTCTGGGTGGCACCGCCCTCGTGGTGGCATTAACATGGCTGTTTCGATTGCTCTTCAACTCCGACTCCGAAAGGCTACCACTCCCCCCAGGTCCTAGGGGCATCCCCATTTTTGGGAGCTTGTTCGAAGCCCCGGAGGGTAACAGCCCATGGCAGACGTACAAACAATGGAGCGACAAGTACGGACCGATAATGTCCATCAAAAATGGATCTTCCATCTCTATCGTTATTACTTCCTATGATATCGTGTCAAATTTGCTGGAGAAGAACAATTCTGTCTTCAGCTCACGGCCAATACCAGTCGTCATCGATCGAATTTCTTTGGGAATGACAACCTCATTCTTACCGGATGGGGAGAAGTGGCGAACCCATCGTCATCTTCGTACAATGGTCCTGTCACCAAATATGGCCAAAAGATACCGCGGATTGCAAGACCTGGAAAGCAAACAGCTGTTACACGAACTTCTCACCGATAACCAATTCTCAGTCTGCTTACGTCGCAGTGCAGTGAGCTTGTTCCTGGCATTTGCATACGGAGAGCGGCTACCCAAGGAGACACCGGAGATCATTGAACTTGAAGACACCGTCGCTCACATCGGTCAAGTTTCCGAATCCACTTTCCGAGGTACTGGGATGCTTGCAGAGTTCTTTCCTTTCCTTAAGTACCTACCCGGCAACGGAGCTTGGAAGAAGGAAGCCGACCGTATTTCGGCCAAATTGAGCGAGTTGTACGTCAAACGTTTCCGTGCCGGCCTGAATACCGCTTCTTGGAATTGGACCAAGCAATATGCTTTACAGAAAGGTGCTGAAGGCATGAGTGAACTGGAGCGCGCATACTGCATCGGTTCAATCTATGAAGCGTCCCTGACTCCATACGAACTTGTCCGCATTGTGATTCTTGCTGCTATTTTGCACCCAAAAGAGGCCAAGAAGCTGCAGCAGCAAGTCGACGAGGTCGTGGGCAGGGATCGGTTGCCGGATTGGGAGGACCAAGATAGCCTTCCTCTAGTCAGCGCATTCTTCCGAGAGGCAATGCGGTGGCGCCCGTGGTCTCCCTGGGGGCCCCAAGAGCCACCACGCAGGAGATTGACTATATGGGCTATAGGATCCCCAAGAATGCCACTATTGTTGTCAATCAATGGGCAATGGATCGGGACCCCAATGTGTATGAGGACCCACTAGCTTTCCGACCTCAACGATGGATTGAAAACCCTGACCTTCCGCACATGATGTACGGCTTTGGCATGCGAGGCTGTCCCGGACGACACGTCGGAAAAGATTACATGTTCATCAATGTGGCACGGTTATTCTGGGCCTTCAACATGGAAAATGCGTATAAGGACGGAAAGAAGGTCGAGTTTGATGTTGACGCTCTGATGAACAGTCGGGGTACGGTCTCTTTTTTCAACCAAGTGCCTGATTTTGAAGCTTCATTTAACCCCAGGGATCCCAAAGCCAGATCGATAATTGAGAAGGAGTGGGAGAACGTGGAGAAGGATGAAGGGAAGATACTTGCGCAGAGCTTCCCTGCCGGGGTGGGAGCTTGATTTTCTGAGTAGAATGGACCATGTACGGAAGATTGCGGAAGGACTATAGAGTGACTGGGTTGGAGGATTTCGAGAACAAAATCCTGGAACGGTATCTCTCGAGTAGAACTAATTGGAATGAACTTTATGGGCCACAGACACAATTACCATTATACTAGCAAGCAAGCAATCATCTCGACAGGTCCATGAACCACTCTGGCTTCTCTGGGGCGATACAGCAGTGGAAGGCTTATTTATTAACACCCGCGTCGGCCGCGCGGCGGACTTCTGAGACAATGTCCAACAGCTGAATCTTGACAAGAGATGGTGATGCTCTGGATATGTAGGACACCTTCCACGAGCGGGCTATTTCCGAGACTTCAAACCACGTCCAATCGAAATACTTGGTGAACAATGTCTTAGTTCTAGATCCAGTGGACAGACATTAAACCCTTTCTAAGATTGCATACCACTGCTATTCTGATCTAATTCCTTATTTGCTGATTATCTTTGCGTACCAATCTAATACCATATGCTAGAAGGTTGCATTTACAGATTCTTTGGCGTCAGCATTGTAACACATGTATCAGGTAGTGGTCAATGTGCTTCTATGCGCCAAGACAGTGATCAACAAAACCAAAGCCCTGCTCGTCTGTACCTTCGAATAACATATTCACTGTTCCATACATCGGGGCTCCTTGCGTTCCACTGTTCCCATGACGATCTTTCGTCCCTACTTATGTTCGCAGCAGAGTAACAGGAATTTGTAGTATGATATGTAGCTGGTGGGGCATAATGGATCCTTACCTTGACAGATTATAAATTGGTGCATGTGAGATCTGTAGTTCTTTGAAAAGGTAGAGGATTGCGTTATCATTATAGTCAGATACCAATCCATTCAAAAACTGTACTTAACCAGGAGTGGGTGATCCTACAAGTGTCACCCAATAATTTGAGAATCTTCCCAGACTTTAATGTCCGGTTATCGGTATGCAACAATCTATTTACTGTCTCATATGATGATAGGCTAATTATAAAGATTATAATGGTTCAAGTTCCGCAGAGCATGAGTTCGGCGACTCCCACACTCTGGAGAACATGTGTCCATCATGTTATTAGGAAACAAGCCCAAGGATTCCCGGGCTCCACAGCAGTCCTGGCGTGGGATGGATCATTCAGTTATGCAGAGCTCGAAAATCTCTCTTCCCATCTTGCAGTTGTCTTAATGCTCCTTGGAGCTCAGCCAGAAGCCATTGTGCCAATCTGTATGGACAAATCTCGTTGGACTACGGTTGCTATTCTGGCAGTCATGAAGAGCGGAGCCGCATTTACTTTACTCGATCCTTCATATCCTCCGTCAAGGCTTCAAACGATCTGCCAAGAGATCAATTGCAAGTTTATTCTGACGTGCCAGGGAAGGAGTGAGCAATCCTCTCACTTGGCTCCTTCTCTTGTTGTCGAACACTTAGCCCAAGTCTGTCGACCTGCATTTGGCCAACCTCGAGAGTTTCCTGGCCAACCTGATAGTGCACTGTATGTTGCTTTCACATCGGGGTCAACTGGAAAGCCTAAGGGCGTTGTGATCGAACATCAATCATATTGCTCGGGTGCGCAACATCATCTCAAAGCTTTTGGAATCAGTCGAGATTCACGAATTCTTCAGTTTGCATCGTACGCCTTCGATGTTAGTCTCATGGAGACTCTGAGCACACTGATGGCGGGAGCCTGTTTATGTGTAATGAGCAGCGATCAGAGGACAGACCCGGACCTTTTTCGTCAAGTTTTCGAGAGTTTCCAGATCAGCCACGCTTTTTTGACTCCTTCCTTTGCGAGAACGATAGCTTGGAAAGGTCACCGCCCTGGGACCATCACACTTATCTTGGGTGGAGAGACAATGCGTCCATCCGATGTCGTCTTCTACAACAAGCTGGGAATTTCATTGATGAATGCGTATGGACCAGCAGAGTGCTCCGTCAACTCCACAGTTCTATCTGCTCTCCTGCCGGAAGGAAGACCCAATAACATTGGGTTTTGCACTGGTGCAGTTGCATGGATCGTCGATCCGGATGACCCTGAGCGGCGAATGCCCCATGGAAAAATTGGAGAACTCCTCCTAGAAGGCCCTATTGTCGGTAGGGGCTATCTAAACAACCTGGAAGCAACCCGGGAGGTATTTATTCGCCCCCCCGTTATGGCTCGAGAGAATTCGTGCAGGCACACCAGGCACCATCAGAACCTACCTCACTGGTGACCTGGCGTCGAGGGATACCAACTCCGGTGAAATCCTGATCCACGGTCGGAAAGACCAACAAGTCAAAATTCGGGGTCAACGAGTCGAACTGGAGGAGATCGAAAACCATCTTTGTGATTGTCTTGCTTCGATTACCACGGAGGTTTTTGTCGAGAGAATCTCGCCCCAGAGCAACGAGCATCAGAGCAACGAGCAAGATAAACTTATTGCTTTTGCCGTGTTACCTGCGAACCAAAGCACCCGACTCTATGAGAATATGTTTTACTCTCCGCATTGCGCTGCGATGGAACTTTTCCGCACAAGCCAACAACGACTCAAGGAACGTGTCCCCAACTACATGGTACCGAATACCTTCATCCCGCTCGCCATGGTTCCGAAAGTCCCGTCAGGAAAGATTGATCGAGGCCTTTTACGGGCCACTGCCATGAGGATGCCGAGAGATAAGATGCGAGAGTATAACTTGGGATCTATTGACGGTCGAGCCACCAAGGAGCCCCCAACAACTCAAAAGCAGGTTTTGCTCAGACGTCTTTACTCTGAAATATTGGATCTCCCACCTGAGCTAATTGGGATTCGTGACACTTTTCTGCAACTTGGTGGTGACTCCCTCCTTGCTATCCGTCTTGTGGGCGCAGCCCGAAAGGCCGGCCTCTTAATCTCGACGCAAGACATTCTTTCTTCAAAAGTTACAGTATCGGAGCAGGCTGAGCGTGCGATAGAGTCCTTATGCTCTGTGAACTCCGGTATGCATGCTACGCTTGCATTGATAACTACGGATACTCGTGCCGAGGTCATGCAGGCCATGGAAACCCAATACGGGGTTCGCCCTCAAGAAGTTGAAGACATTTATCCCTGCACTGCACTACAAGAAGGAATGTTCGCAGCATCTATTAAGAACCCAGGCATGTATGCGGGAGAAATTGCCTTGCAAGTTCAGGACGGCGTGGATCCCGTCCGGTTGAAGTCTGCTTGGAAGGCCATTACAACTGCCAACCCCATTCTACGTACCCGAATTGTTTCAACAACAAAGGGTTTCATGCAAGTAGTTTTACTCCAAGATTTTGTGTGGGAGGAGCCCATGTGCGTGAAACAGAGTAAGGGCTATGTTCAGGAAGGTCTTTCCAGCACAAATGGAAGCCTTGTGAAGTTTCACTATGGCCGTCCGAGTCGGGAGCTGAAGCTAACTATTCATCATTCGATCTGGGATGGCTGGTCGCTCCAAGTTGTCCTGAGCCAATTCGAGGATGCATATCAAGGCAGAGGCCTGGCAAGATCTTCCTTCTCACCTTTTGTATATCACACACAATCCCTACAGAGCGTTGAGGAATTCTGGGCCACTGAGTTCTTAGGATTAAACGCTCCAGTCTTTCCAGCTCTACCATCCAGCAACTATCGACCCTCTCCAACAGAAGCACTCAACCATGTGATCCGAAGATTGGATACCACAGGCGGTACTGAGCACACAGTGGCAACGTACATACATCTAGCCTGGTCTCTACTGGTGGCTCACTATACAGACTCTACGGACGTCCTTTATGGGGTCACCTTGAGTGGGCGCTATGCACCAGTGCCCGATATCGAAACAATCGTTGGACCAACGATCGCAACCGTTCCTCTACGTGTGAAGGTCAAACGCGAAGCGTCATTTAAATCAGCCCTTGATGAGGTTCAGGATGTTCTCACACGAATTATTCCCCACGAGCAAGCCGGCCTGCCACGCATTTCCAGATGTTCTGCGGATGCTGCAAGGGCCTGTAATTTTCAGAGTCAACTTATCATCGAGTCCTCTGGTGACAAAAGCAAAAGCAACTGTGAACTCCTATCTGTTTCCAGTGGTTCTACGGCTAGCGGGATGAGCTATATTCCCTTTACCGATCGTGCACTCATGATCGTGTTCCACCCCAACCTCGGCAAAGGAACCATACAAATCGACGTGACTTTTGATTCTAGTATAATTTCTTCAACCGAGGTCAGTCGAATGATGAGTCAATATGAAAACGTCCTCCGCCAAATCTATGAGACACCCTCCCAGACCCCTGGAGATGTACAGATGGCTAGCCCAAATGATCTCTGCCAACTTCAAATTTGGAACCAGGATATGCCACGGGCAGATCATCGATGTTTGCCGCAACTGGTTCTTGCCCAATCTACCAAACAGCCTCAAGAGCTCGCAGTCTGCTCCTGGGATGGCTCTTGGACATATGATGAGCTTGTTTCGCGCTCACTGCTTGTCTCTCATCATTTGAACAAGTTGGGAGTCCAACCCGGTTGTTTCGTGTCAATATGCCTAGAGAGAAGCAAGTGGAGCATTGCCGCTATTATTGCAGTCCATTGGTGTGGTGGAACATGTATTTTACTCGATCCTGACCACCCCAAGCGGCGGCTACGGCAGATCACACAATTCTCGGGCAGCTTTGTGATGATCAACAGCGAAGTTACCACGCACTCTTCGGGTGAGCTTTGCCCCATCCAGGTAAGCTTGACCGCGCAGTTTCTCAACGACCTTGAGGATAACGGCGTTCCATCCATCAAATGTTCTCCAGAAGACCCAGCCTTCATCATGTTCACGTCCGGCAGCACTGGAGAGCCAAAAGGAATAGTCATGTCACACCGTGCATTGAGCTCCAGCATCTACCATAACAGCGATGCTATGAATTTTCATTCAGGTACCCGGGCACTCCACTTTTCTTCCTACGCATTTGATGTCAGCATCTATGAAATTTTTACCACACTGGCTGCAGGGGGAACTGTGTGTGTCCCTTCTGAATTTGAGCGCAAGAATTGTCTTGCGGAAGTCATCGAGCGCATGAATGTCAACTGGGCCTTCTTGACACCGACCACTGTGCAAACAATATCTCCTTCTGACGTGCCATCTTTGACCACTCTCGTGCTCGGAGGCGAGGCTGTTACACGCGACAATGCGGATACTTGGGCCAGTGGCCGGTCTCTAATCAACGGATATGGCCCCGCCGAGGCAACAATCTGTGGCGTCGGGCCCATACCAGAAGGCCGCTGGAAACCCGGTGTTATAGGCCTCATCGTTGGTGGCTTGGGATGGATCACTGAGCCGATGAACCCCGAGCGACTGGCTGCAGTTGGTGCGATTGGGGAGCTCCTGTTGGAGGGGCCTTTCTTGGCCCACGGCTATCTCAACCTACCAGATGTTACCAATAGAGCTTTCATCAAATCTCCTGCCTGGAGATCTCAAATTCGCTCAGACTCTCCGTCGGTTGTTTATCGTACGGGGGACTTGGTAAAGTATGAGCCAGATGGCTCCATTCAATACATGGGGCGCAAGGACACCCGTATCAAGCTTCGAGGGCAGCTCATAGACCTAGGCGAGGTTGAAACTGCAGTCTTGCGCATTTTCCCCGACGCTGTCGAGGTAGTCGCTGAAGTGATGAGAATGACTGCGAGCACTACTGCTACCATTCTCATTGCCTGGATCAAGCTAAGCACCATGAAGCTGCCAGAAGACTTGAAAAACAGTGATAAATGTGTTGCACCTGCTGGTTCAAAATTCAGAAATACATCCACCCTCGTTCAGACACGCCTTCGGGAACAGGTCCCATCCTACCTGGTCCCATCAATGCTTCTTCCGGTATGGCGGATTCCACGGACTCTCACAGGCAAATCCAATCGGCGTTGTCTTCGGCAGGAGGTGCAAGCTTTGTCGCCATCGGAAATACAAAGCTTCATGGTCGCACCGAACGAAAAGGAAGACGTGCAAAATAAGTCCGAAGAACTGCTGCGGGATATTTGGGCAGATCTTCTGGGTATTACACCCGACCAAATAGGACGTCACGATGGCTTCCTTTTAGCCGGTGGTGATTCTATTACAGCCATGAAGATGATGGCCGTTGCTCGACGCGCCGGGTTTGTCTTCACAGTCATGGATGTCTTGAACAGCTCTCCTTTGTCAAAACTCGCAGCCACTCAACTAGAGATCACTCCACTCAAAGTACCCTCAGTGCTCGACTCGAACTCTGTCATATCAAAACAGAAGCAGGAAGTAGGTTTTTCTTCGGATGCAAATTCCACCGCCCCTTTTCCAGTCACAGACGCGCAAGAGTTCCTCATCAAACGCTATCCATGGTCGCATTTCCGGTTTTCCTTCAATGGGAATATTGACCAGTATCGTTTACGATATGCATGTGACTTGCTTTTGCGCAATCACAGTATCCTCCGGACTGCCTTTGTGGAAGACAATGGCCATATTAAGCAATCAGTCCAGGAGAGCACAAATAACGTCTCTCTTCGAACAATTGTAACAGATGATACTCTGGAAACCTTTGCTGCGAAACTTTGTGATGATGAGCAACTTGCTCCTGTCGCTACAGTCGATCACCCGACTCTGTTCACGTTAGTTTCTAATGAAGGTCTCGACAAACATCAATTCATCATCCGACTGGCACACGCTCAATATGACGCGGTTTCTCTCCCAAGGGTGCTGCAGGATTTTGAGACGATCTTTAACGGAACTCGAACAGTCGCTGCCAGTGACTTCCGTCAGCATCTTGCGCTCCTCTCTCAGCAAGATTCTGGCAAATCTTGCGAGTTTTGGAGAACATATCTGGCCAATTCTGCAATTACTCCATTACCTTCAAGCGTCGTGTATCCCTACTCAGGCCCCTTTCATCGGGGGGATCATGTCACAGTCGCCGGAACTTGCAGCCTTCCCCTGCCAGCAGTCCCGTCTGAGGTGACGCTGGCCACGGTTGTAAAAGCTGCCTCATGCCTTGTACTGGCACATTTCTCTGGCAGAAATGACATCGTTCTAGGACAGACCGTTTGCGGGCGCAATTTGGTGTTTGATCGATTCGATCGTGTCGTTGGGCCATGCACTAACTACATTCCTTACCGCGTGGTTCTAAACCCATCAATGACGGCGTTTGATTATTTGGTCCATGCCCAAGCACAGCACTCTCGATGCTTGAACTACGAGTCAATTAGCCTGTCCCGGATCATAAAGAATTGTACCAATTGGGCTCAGACGACCGAGTTCACATGTATTGTTCAACATCAGGTTGCAGATACTTACCTCGACCTCACCCTCGATGGAAACAAGTCCACTTCATTTTCTCTGTCAGGTCGGCTCATTCCCTCATCGGAAATCTGGATATGTTCTACCGCTACATTGTCTGGGTTGAAAATCGAAGTTTTCGGATCGAGTTCGAGCATTGGACAGGAGAGTGCGGAGCTTCTAGCCTCTGAAATTCCTACTGCGGTTCATAATTTGCTGACTGGTGTACACGATCCGCTGTTTTCTGTTTACAGACGTAACATGTGATTTTTTTTTGTTCCCCTACCACCGCTATGTGAATCCATAAATTGATTTTTTTATTTCTTGGCTTGCTATCTATATATAGCGATTTGCATTGAGTCTATTATTTTACGTGTCGCTATAAATAGATGCTATTCCAACGTTTGTACCTATAATATCGTGCTAGGAACTTGGCCCCCTCTAGATCCTCAAAAGCGTGTTATAGGGGATCGCATAAAGCATATGAATCTAAACTATCAGCGCTTAAATATCGTCGCACAGCTGCAAGATAACGCAAGTCTTGCTAATAAATGCATATATGCCAAAGCCAATAGGTTATTATATGCGGTACTATACCGTGGCTTCTTACTAGTACTGCCTAAAGTTGCCTTCTGTTTTGGGAATATATAGTTAACTAACGTAATTTACTAGTGAATTAGCCACACCTCCGAGTTGGCCACTCCACTTAACCTATCAATTTTAAATACATTCATCGTAACCAACGCTATTAGATTTGATAAGCTAGGAACGAGGTCTATCTAGACATACATTTCTCTTATAACCTTCAATTTCATATATTCCATACCTCGGTAAGGCCCTAGTACGTAGCTCTAAATGCGCCGGTGGCGGTCTTAACTGATAGGGTATTAGCGTTTTACTTACTGGTTCTTCTACCTAAATAAGCTCGAGAGCTTCTAAAACTAATATACCCTCTTCCCGAGGGATATACCTTATGGACCTAGTCCTTTTAAGCTTCTTCTTCCTATTTCTAGCGCGTAATTTGCTAGCTTTATTTATAAGTAAAACAGCCTATTGTATTGAAACTTAATACGCGTTTGGAACTTAACTAGTTGTAGAATTAAGCGGGCTTAGTAGGCTTTTTAGGCGCCGTTTTAGTGAAGCTTTAATTGAGGGAAGATTACTTTTATAGTTGTATATAATTCGAGTGCGTTTTTAGTAACTACTCGCTTCCCCGGCTCGAAGGGGTTGTTAGGGTTCGAAGGCGAATATCTAGCTTCGAGATTACTCGATTAGGATCGTAAGGCATTAAACCGGCGGCGGCGAAGCTACTCTTAATAGCCTCCTAATTAAATTCTTCGAGGAAGTCTAATGTATCGATATGTTGGCGGATCGAGAATAGGCAGTTGTGGAGAAGTAGTATTGATTGAAACTGGAAACTGGAGAACTCGGGAGAAAAGAGAAGAGAGAGAGAACTACAGAGAGAGATGGAGATATGGAGACAAACAAACAACGCATGCAAACAATGCACCTACTAGCCTGACAAACCAGGTAGCAATACAAGTCACATGACCATATACCCCAACACCCCCCTTAGGGTAGTAATCCTCTATAAACTAGTGCTCTTCCCTACCCCCCCCGTAGAGAACAACAAAACAATCACTTCTTCTTCGAAGATTTGGAATCCTTCTTTATCGAGTCCTTTTCCGCACGCTCCGCACGCGCCTTCGCGTAGTACTAGACCTTAGGGTAAGGTTCCTATCTGTCACGATCGACAAGTATCACATTAAAGTTCTTTAGCTTTATTATAAGTATAGATAGTATTATAGTTAATCTAAGAAAAATTAGTATTATTTAGTTATAATAAGCCCTAATAATTATAAAAGAGATTTAGTCGTTCTTAAGATTTTATAATTTTTATTAATAATTTATTTAAGGATATAATACTATTTTAAAATCTTTATATCGACTTATCCGGTAGAATATTTTTTATAAATAGATAGAATAATATAAAGTAGCTTTTATATTATTAAAAAAAAAATTAATAATTATATTAGTCTTTTATTATTATAATCTAGCTCGACGAATAAAGATTAAGACTAATATTTCTAATAAAGTATTCGGAGTAGTTCTTTCTTAGTATTATAAAAATAATAACTTTTAGTATCTAATAGCTTTCTTCTTAAAGAGTATATAATCTATAGAGTTAAATTATAAGATATAGGATAAAAAGCTTTTAGTAATTATTTATATATTATAAAAATAGTAATCTAAACTTAAAGATTTAATATAAAAAGATTATTTTGAGATCTTAATAGATTATTAGTCTCTTAAATACTTTATAATAATAAGATAGATAAACTAATAATAAGTAAAATAGAGTAAGTTTTTATTTTAGTTTTATTTTATAATTAAATATTATCCTAAAAATAAGAATATTATAGCTAATATTTTATCGCGAAAAGACTTATCTTATATTAATAATAATAAATAGATAATATTTCTATTAAAAAATTATTTAGAAGAAAGTATCTATCTAATTAGTTTAAATTTAATTAATATAAAGCTTATAATAAATATTATTAAATAAATTAAATAAGCTAATTAAAAAAATATTAAATTAAAAGATTTTTAATAAATTATTAAAAAAGATAATAACTAAAAATAAATAATTAAAAAAGATTTATTTTTATTTAAAGAATAATTTAAGATTCTAAATAAAAAGGATTTATATATAAGACTTTTTAATAATATATATTAATAATTATTAATTATATATCTTAAAATTAAAAAACTAAAAAAGTTTATTTTATTAAGATATTATTAACTAAAATAAACTAATAATATAAAATAGTATATAAAAAATTATTTAGTTTATAAATAAATAAAAATCTAATAAGACTATATATCTAGATTATTATATCTTTTATTTATTCTTAAAAGATTCTAATAATATATTTTAATAGATTTCCTGTTGGAGTCACGTGACGGCCATGTGGGGCCGTAGGTGATCCTAACCCACAGAACTCAGGATATTGTTAGACAGTAGCTAGTTTTTCTTCTCTTCTTTTCTTTCTCTCTAGAGTCTACAAATCTAATCCTTTGAGGTTAACATTTATTCCTATATAGCCTACATTCTATCTAATAGGTTATAAGCCCTTGCTCGTACGACTCCGAGTATCTTTTCGTTAAAACTTTTAACTAATTAGAGTTTTTATTTTTCTTTTATAGGACACGTTTTTCGGCCCGTTTTATATCTCTACTTTTCGACTATCGATCCTATTATTAATTTTTATCGACGATCTTATTATAAGTTAATATTTTTATTATTCTAATTATCTAGAAAGCTTCGTTTTCTATAATTATCTTATTAACGCGACGGACGGTACCGCTTCGCGTATTTTTTTTAATTAAGACCGAAGATAGATACTCGATATATAATTAAAATAATTAGTTCCTATAATAATAATAATAATAGAAGAGAAGGTTCTTTATATTCTCTCCTTACTTCTCGCTAGTAATATAATCCTATTTCTAATAATTAAAAATAATAATATTAATAATATAGTCTTATTAGATAGATATATATATAAAAGACTAATCTTCTAGAAGTAAAGGAGATTAAGCTTAATAAGGGTATTAAATTAGCTTTTAATAATAGTAATCTAGTAAGATAGAAATAATAGATTATTAATAAATTAAGTATAATATAGATTAATTAGATTACTAATTATAATCTATCTTATTCTACCGAATTCGATCCTAATTATAATCTATAAAGATATTAGTCGAAGATTTCTAGTAGATAGATTGAAGATCTTTTAAATTAGAAGATTATTATAACTCTTAAAAGATATATAAATAGTTTCCCGATTTACGCTAATTATATACTATATAAAATCGAGTCTATTATTTATAATATTAGTATTATTAATAATATAAAATATAAGATAATTAAATTTAATAAAATAAAGAGATTATACTTTAGTTCTACTAAAGACTATATTAATATTTATTAGATCTAATATAATTAACTTAGTATATATAAAATCGAATCTTATTTATTTAGAGTATTATTTATAATATTTTAATAACTAAAAGATAAATTTAAATTAGTTATATTTATCTATAAGACTTTAAAAGATAAGATATTAGATTCTATTATAAAAAAGATTTTTAGCGATATATATAAGATATTAATAATTAAAATATATAATATTCCTACTTTATCTTTATTTAACCTAGAAACTTCTACTAATATTATAAAAAATAATAATAATAATAATTAATATAGAAGTAGAATAAGAGATTAAAGCTATAATAGTAGAGGTTATAAAGATAGTTTATATAACTTTAGATCGGATAATAATAATAAAGATAATTAAAATAATTAAAAGAAATAGTATTAAGATATAAAAAATACGCTATCTAAAAATAAATTAATTAATAAATAGGTAGAATAATAGCGTAATTAATAATTATAGTATATAAATAGTTCTAAATATACCTATTATAGATATATTAGATATCCTACTAAAATATATTTCTATCTAATAAAAGATTTATCTATAAAGAGATAGAAGCTATATAATAATATTTAGTATTATATAATTATATATAAAGAAAAAGTAAGGCTAATATTATTTATACTAATATAGCTTATTTTTTAGAGAATAACTAGATAATTAATAATAATACTTCTAAAATAATTACTAGATATTATAAAGACTTTTATAAATACTTAATTTATAAGCCTAATAAGAAATTATATAATTATATAAATACTAATAGTAAGATTTAATTAGTAATTAGTTATAATAAGACGCCGATTTAAATTAAGAATTCGAAAGATAAGATTAAGATAATTCTTATTAATATCTACTATAATATAATAACTACTAATTATTTATTTTTATCTAATACTCTTAAAATAGATTATAATATCTATTATAATCTAATTATTTTAAAATTAATTTATAAGAATAAAGAGGAAGTTAGATTAGTAAAATAATTTAATAATTTATCTTAGATTAATAGCCTATTCTATTAAAAAATAATTCTAGAGAAGATATAATAATCTTTTATTTAAATAACTTACTTTTATAAACTAAATTCTTTTAATTTAAACTTAGATTTAGATAAAGAGTTTAATCGAATTAATAAATCTATTTTAACTTATAAAATTTATTATCGATTTAATTATATAAGAAGATTATATATTAGAACTTCTTTTTCTAATACTATTCTTCTAAAGAAAGGAGACTAAGCTAAACTTTATAATTTTAACT